GGATATCTGCTGCAAAGCTGGAGGTATGCATGAGTTGTCTTCATTCCCAACCAAACATACGTAAGCGTCTTACTTGGAGACCATATCTTTCAGACCAATTAGCCTAATATAATTTCTCCTAAGAACCTTGTAAATTTATAGGTTGAAATGATGTTTTATTAAGTAACCAGAAACATACATAAGCTAGCAAATAACACTAGGTGTATTCCATTGATTAGGCTTACTATGCAGTGGATTGAATTCATGCTAGGGTATAGAACCATTATCATTAAACTTTTTAACATAAGATAAATCTGAATTACTAAAGGATGGCGCAGGAAGAAGTTGTATTTCTACTGATGTGAATTTTCAGATGACATAAGCATCGAAGTGAACGTAACATTTGCAAACTTTGGTTTTAAAAGGATTCAGCAAGCATAAGATATGGTCAACGAAAAAGTAGGCCGAAAATAAGGAACCATAAACTGCGGAAACCTTTATTTTGTACATTCACAAGAAAAAGTTACTCACAAGGAATAAAGGAGCTTTATATTATGTCTAAACGTGGCAAATATCGGGAAATTACTCTTGATAACAAGCCAACCTTACATAACCTCATATAAAAAAAATCACAGAAAAGGAGCTCTATGAGCTTGTAGATGAATGGTAGCAAAACATGGGGACTTAAACCAAGTATCATGCAGTGACTTTATACATACTAAGTTTGTGGCACCCATTGTAACCTACTCATTTATAATATTATTATGGCATGAAGCTAAAACATTACAGCTAGTAAAAAATTCGTTAAGGTACACATACTGGCCTGTCTAATAATAGCAATTTAGCAACCTATCGGTCTTCCTACATTACACCTTGTGATAGAAAACAGTTGTGGTGGCGTTAAATGGCTTTGGATAGGAACGATAGCTAGCTATCGATATTTTTTCTTTCTTAATGTAAAAATCGATAATAAATTACAGCTGGTTAAATTGTATTAATTACTAATTATCTAACAGAATGTATTTTCTATCAATTAGTTTCTGATTTATCGTTTTTACCAGTATAATTTAAAAATCTCTAAAAACTATTAACTTTTGGTATAGGGAATGCTTAAGTCAAATTAAAGTATAATTAGGATACTTTTGAACGATGATATAAAATACAGGTTGAACCATTTAAAAAAATGAGAAAATTATGTATTTGTGTTTTGACTCACCCTGTACAGATTTGATGCGAATTAAAAAAAGTAATGTCTCCGGATAAAATTTGACCATGATTGAAAAATTGCGGTAGAAAAAAAATTGGTTATCAATAGTTTCTTTTGCATGATATAGGTCATTGAATTCAATACGATTTTCATACAAAACTGATAATAGTCTGCAAAATACCCTGTATAAACCAATAATAATTTATATTTTTAGAATAGGAAAAGCGAGGGCAATTCAAATATAAAATAAAGTACAGGGTGATCCTTAAAAAAACATAAGTTGGTTCCAGAGGGTAGTTATTAAACACCCTGTATATTCAAAAATAATTTTTAAACATGTAGTTTAACGCTGTCCACCGTTCTGTGAAAATATTTTTTTATATCTCTAATAATGGCGGATATATTGGACTTTTTCACACTAATGGATCACCCTGTATATGTAAAAAATAATCAAAATGTAACATTTACTTGTACTTACATGATTTTCACTGATATAGGTTAAATTGGATAACGAAAAGTTTAAAACACGAGATAAACATTTCTAGATTTAATTAAAAACTGAACCGAAATTAAAATTTTTCTGACAAAAACATAAACGCCGAAAATAAATTGAGCGCGTATTTTAAATTCAGAAAAGTCTGTTAAGAACTTTCTTCCATGGTGAAAGGTTTTCCACATAAATATTTTAAATTATAGGTTTAATATACAAACACTCCGTTTTAGAAAAAGGTTGTAATATTTTTACTTAATTCTCCGTATGTTTCAGTTATTAACAATGTAAAATATTCTGTTAAATATGCTTACAGCATTTTGTGAAAATCCAAACTAATAATTACCTTTTTAATATTTTTCTGAAAAATACTTACCAATATTAAGAATTGTTTAAAATTCCTAAATATCTAGTGAAGCTAATGTGTATTTAAGAATAATAAATTATAAATATTATACATAATGTGTATTCATTCTGGAATCTATATGAAATTTACCAATTGCGGTTGATGTTTAGTACTGCTAATTTTTAATATTATATACAGGGTGTCTGTAAAAGGTCTTTACAAAAACATACCACATATTCCTTAGACCAAAATAAGTCGATTTAAGTAAAATTACCTTAGTACTCCAGAGGGCCTTGAAGTTACAATTTTTAAATCGTTTTTCCCATATAAATTTAAAACGACATATCGATGGCCTAGGCGTAATACCTCGTATCATCAATTTTGACGAAATTGAGGTATTATTGTTTTGATATTAAGTAAAACATTGCGCGCTATCTATTAGAAGCTCAGCTAACGCGGCAAATCGGAATATGTAATAAGAGGTATCAACTCGAGTCGGTAACCCAGTGGAAATAGCATGTATCATCAGTGTTTACATTACAAGCAGGGTGGATGGTTTTTGCTCATGTGATTTTTTGTATTTTCGTAAAAAAATAAAGGTAACTTTCTATTTACTTTTTTATAAAACACAGGGTTGTTTCTTTTATTTCTCTTTATAATTATATTTTCTAATATCAAAATAAAAACCAGTTAAAAGTATGTTTAAAAGTTCCTTTGTTGATACGAGGTATTACAAATTCACTCAAATTTATGTTACGTGATATTTCAAAGGGCAATTTCTCAAAAAATTAATACTTTAATTATTATGTATTGTCGCCCTATCTCTGTAATTTTATTATGTTCTACCAAGTAAAATAACACAAATTGAAATTTTAACGAATATTGACGTTCTATATAGCTCCCAAGAATTTTTTACAAAAAAATCTATCGAGATGCAGTTTTGCAGTATTTTACAATTCCGCAGTACTTTTAAAAAAAATATTGTATGGGAGAAAATTTTGTTGGAGCTCCAATTTTTCAGATATTAACAAAAATAACATTTTAACACAATTATTTACCATTTTAGACCGCGATGAACTAAGAAAACTAAGGAATATATTTTTACCATTTTATTGACCTAATTAAAATTTCGCTAATTAAAACATTTATTTTTAGTCTTCCACTATGACATCCAGGGGCAAGAGATTGGTTCTGCTCGCACAAGAAAACACACAACTTCTTAGAGATGATACAGTTTTAGAAAATTTAAATAACCAAATCTCTTCATCAGATTTATTAAAATCCACCACGAGTTGTATTACGGAAGAAACAAATAATACAATTAGAGGTAATGACATACTTCAACGTGCACTGCAGAGCAGTTTTCTCTTCGTAAATAAAGAAAATATTGATGATATTTTGCCGCAAAACGACTTATCAGGAGCTACATGTTATGGAGAATGTTCAGTCCTATGTGGTAGAAAACAACACAGACATAATTTTTGAAGAGCCTGTTGAAAAAGAAAATGCCAGAACAGAGATTTTCGAAAACAAAGTGATATTTGAAGATATACCTGAAAATGACGATCGACCAAATGAAGGAGATGCCCTGGATTATCCAGACTTCGTACCTAATGAAGAACACTCAGAACACTCAGAATTTGAAGGAGAAGCATTTAATGAACGGCAAAAAGATGGTCTACCCAACGAACCAGAACTAGAAGAAGAGACAGACAACAATGAAAGCGATATTGAAATGCTTGAAAATAATCAAGAAAAGAAGCGTTGAAGAAAACCAAATAAAGACGAATGGCCTAGAGAAAAAACAAGAATTAGAAGGATGGCTGGAGAAGAGTACATAGGCTATACCAGAAACAGACAAGGCCAAATTTTTCATAATAAGCAAAGAGCAGCTAGAGCAATAGGACCGACTTGTACTTCTTCTAAGTGTTTAAAATATAAGAATAGATTTTGCCGCTCAATATCTGAAGAAGAACGGAACCAAATTTTTTCCAGCTTTTGGAAAAAAATGAACTGGAACCAGAGAAAGATATATGTAGTTGGGCTTATAAAGATGAAATCTACGGAAAGAAAGTATGTTGAAAATTCCAGACGCAGTATAACATACGACTATTTCTTACAATTTGCTGCAGAAAAAAAACAAGTTTGCAAAAAAATGTTTCTTTCAACACTGGGCGTGAATGAAGCGATGGTTTCCAACTGGTGTAAACAAAATGAAAACGGTATCGTTCCCGCCACCGATGTTTCCAAAAGAACTAGAAAAGTCTTAAAAGACGCTCCCCGGCCTAAATCAGAAAAGGAGGTCGGACTGGAGGAACAATCAAATTATCTAAAAAAAATTTTTGCAGAACTTCCTAAAATGCCTGCACATTACTGCAGAAAAGATTCTACGAAACAATATATAGAATACGATTTTGAATCAAAGGCCAAGTTGTATGAAATATATCAAGAAAAGTGTCTAGCAGATAAAAATAAGTCTCTAAGTTATTGGTACTTTTCTGAGTTATTTGAGGATCTGAATTTAGCATTGTATACTCCAAAAAAGGATCAGTGCAATACCTGTGTGGCTTATAGAGCAGGAAATATTGAAACAACAGAGTATAATAAACACATTGCCCTTAAAGATCAAGCAAGGCAGGCAAAAGATATAGACAAAGACAAAGCCAAGGAAGGTAAATGTAATGTCTTTGTTATGGATGTGCAAGCAGTGAAAATGTGTCCTGTAAATAACGCTAATAAGTTTTATTTTAAAACCAGATGAAAGGTTCACAATTTTACCATATATAATTTAAAAACCCATGAATATTGGAACTATTGGTGGAGTGAGGTTGAGGGAGATCTATGTTCCTCTGTGTTTGCCACAATTATTATAAATCATTTAGAGAAATATTGCCAAGATGATTTGCCAGTGATATTGTGGAGCGATGGCTGCGGCTACCAGAATCGAAATGTAGTACTTTCGAATGCACTGCTGCAATATGCCGTTAAAAACAAAAAAATATGCCGTTAAAAACAAAAAATGTGTAGCACAAAAATATCTGGAACCCGGACATACACAGATGGAATGTGATGCTGTCCATAGTTTAATTGAAAGAAAACTAAACAGTCGGGAAATTACATTGCCTTATGATTATGTTACTAAAACTCGTGAAGCAAGACAAAAACCGACTACCTTAAATGCAGAAATATTGACGCATGAAATATTTAAAAATTACGATAATAAAGATCTTATGAGGTACAGAAGTATAAGACCTGAACGTTGTACAAATGACCCCACTGTGAATAACCTGAGAGAACTGCATTATTCTTCGGAAGGCACCATAGGATATAAGACTGACTTTTCCGATCAAATTCGAGCTTTACCACAAAGATCCAAGGAGATAAATGATTCTAAGTACGTAGTTGAAGGTTTGTTCCAAGATCAACTAAAAATATCTGCCCAAAAATTTGCTCACCTACAGGACATAAAATCTACACTTGCACCAGAGTTTCATGGATTTTACGACTCTTTGCAATTTAAAAAAGACTAATTAGTGTAATATAGTTTTATAAAAGTATTTGAGTTACCAAAGGTACCAAAGTTACCAAATTTTACGTACCTAATTAGATTAAGGTTTAATGTTTGATGTAATTTTTAAAGTATTATTTTTTTATTAAAAAATGTACGAAATCCTAGATTTTAAGCACAAAATTTAAACTAAAAGTGGTTATGTTTTATTTGGACGTTACTTAGACAATGTTTTCTTGTTCCTATAAGTTCTAATAAATATTTTTTGAATTTTGATACAGATTCACAGCATTCAATTTTTATTGTATTTTTGGTTGAATATCACTTATCAACATGTGGTTAAATAGGCAATACCACGTATCAAACCGCATTGCCAGAAAAATGATTCAAAAACATTTTTTTTTTTAAATATTGTTGTGTAAAAAATTCAATTTTTAGCTAGATATTAAATTGCCTACAGGTGCCTTGTAAAAAGAAAATAATACAGTTTTTTGCCTCTCGTGAAAAGTTGTCAAAATGTTGATACGAGGTTTTGCGCCTAGGCCATCGATATGCGATTTTGCTAAAATTTGGTATATTGGTAGATTTTTACGTGGCAAAAAAAATGGTATTAAAATTTTGTCCGATAATAATACATAGGCGTAGAACTTGATTTTTTAAATAATTGCACATTTAAAAATTCTACGTCAATAGAAGAAAAGGAGTTTGAATATAAAATTTAGATTGCGCAACTCATTTACTTTAAAAAAGGTACTCTTGATAAAACTTGATTACTCTCATGGTTTTCGCTAAATTTCTGTTTTAATAATTTAGAGTGTATAGGTTTCACAAAAATATTTATTTACAACATAATCAAAATAGAGATTTTACAAAAATTGTTCAAAATGTTCATTATTTTCACGCATACAAAGATTTAGTGAAACGTAAAAATTGACATCACCTAACCTAACATTCTTTTTTGTTATTTCTACTTATTTCTCGATTCTGGATTTATTTCTACTGACCTTGCTAATTGGTTTAATTTTATTATTAATATGAGTTTATCAGCTGGCTTTATAAAAGCTGATTCAAGTGTTTTACCCATTGTAGACTAAGATATGATTACTACATTTTTAAACAATACGCAGTTTATAAGTACCAAAATTTGAAAAATGCAACAGTTCTTAATTTGTGGAAAAAATGCAAAAAATGCAAAACTGCATTTTTTCCGGTCCTTGCTAATCAGCGTACTCGGCACGTTACGTGTTAAATAGAGAGAGACATTACATAAGAATCACAGTCCATCGAATGAAGATAGGCATCTCGGCATATGTTGTATTGAAAGATAAGAATCCAACTGCAGAATATTAGTGACAAAATTATGTATCGACAAAGTGTTATGAAAAACACTCAAACTTTAGAACAAAAAAAAAATAGTCGACTATTTATCAAGGTATCTACTTTTGACTATCTTGTGAGTTGTCATTATTTATTGATTATTTACTTAAATCACTTAATTTGAATATAATATATAATATAATATAATACTATATTAATATATTATATTATACAGGGTGTCTATAAAAGGTCTTTACAAAAACATACCACATATTCCTTAGACTAAAATAAGTCGATTTAAGTAAAATTACCTTAGTACTCCAGAGGGCCTGGAAGTTATAATTTTTAAATCGTTTTTTCCATATAAATTTAAAACGACATATGCGATTTTGCTGAAATTTGGTATATTGGTAGAGTTTTACGTGGCAAAAAAATGGTATTAAAATTTTGTCCGATAATAAATAGGCGTAGAACTTGATTTTTTAAATAATTGCACCTTTAAAAATTCTACGCCAATGGAAGAAAAGAAGTTTGAGTATGAAATTTAGATTGCGCAACTCATTTACTTTAAAAATGGTACTACTGATAAGACTCGATTACTCTCATGGTTTTCGCTAAATTTCTGTTTTAATAATTTAGAGTGTATAGGTTTCACAAAAATATTTATTTACAACATAATCAAAATAGAGATTTTACAAAAATTGTTTAAAATGTTCATCATTTTCACGCATACAAAGATTTATACGTCGAAGAAAATTAAAATGTATCCTTTTCATAACTTCTTCATCACCTCTAAGATTGTTTATTGCATCTTGAATACGTTGCCAGAGTTGTTCCTCATTTTATACAGGTTCCCTGTAAACTGTGGATTTCAGATGTCCCCATAAAAAGTAATTCATCGGTGTTAGGTCTGGGGAACGTGGTGGCCAGTTTACAGGTGCGTCATTACTTCTGCCCATCCATTTGTGTGGATATTGTTCATTCAAGTGGTTTCTAACGATTAAAGAAAAATGTGGTGGAGCTCCATCTTGCATAAACCACATACCTCTCCGAAGTTGGAGAGGTAAATCTTCTAAAAATTCTGGCAACGTATTTTGTAAAAAATACAAATAATTTTTTTTCAGTTAATCTTCGTGCAAGTATGACAGGACCAACAATGAAATTACCAATTATTCCAGCCCAAACATTAATTTTGAATTCGTGCTGAAAATGATTTACCTTTATTGCATGTGCATTTTCAACGGCATAAACATGTTCATTATGGGTATTAGTTATACCTCTTCTTGTAAAACTCGCTTCATCGGTAAAGAGAACCTTCTTGACAAAGTTTGGATCTCTTTCTCTTTGCATATTCACAATTTGACAAAAACCCAAACGAATTTGAGGATCATGGACTAATAATTCTTGTACTGCCTTTTTATGGTATGGATATAGCAATTGTTCTCTAAGCACTTTATGAACGACATCTTTACTTACTCCTAGTTCCCTTCAAATTCATCTGGTGCTTAATTATGGATCTTTCAACACGTTCTAAAATGTCTTTTTCAACTTCAGTAATCCTTACAAAACATTCTCTTCCATTATCAACAGTGTTGGGAGCAAAGGAACCGGTCTCCCAAAGACGTCTCTCAACAGCAGCAAAAGTTGGGTGGCTAGGTACACGATGATTTGGAAACCTTTCAGAGTACACCCTGACACTCTCTCGAGCATTTCCTTCACAAAATCTTAATGTCAGTAACATATCGGTATATTATGCATTGGTATATTGTACAGCCATATTAATAAACCACGCATTTGTTTTTTTAATTACTGAGTCAGATAGAACACTTTCAATTGTTAACAAGAGATTAGGTGTTAAAACTTGACAATATTTTTATTTAGATGAAACTATGGAAACCAACAATAAATGTTTTTGTATACGTATTGCAGGCAAATAATTAATATTCCTCAAAAAATCGTACATGGCAAGAATCGAGTATTTTTGTTAAAAGTCTCGATTAGAGATGTTGAAGAAGATATGAAAAAAGTACATTTTTATGTTTTTCATCGTATAAAATTTTGTCCGATAATAACACATAGGAGTAGAACTTGATTTTTTAAATAATTGCACCTTTAAAAATTGTACGCCAATGGCAGAAAAGGGGTTTGAGTATAAAATTTGAATTGGGTACTCATTTACTACAAAAAAGTACCCTTGATAACACTTGATTTACTCTCATGGTTTTGACAAAGTTTGTATTTTAATAATTATAGTTTATGTTCTAAAATTACTAAAATGCAAATTTCGTCAAAACCATGAGAGTAATCGAGTCTTATCAAGAGTACCTTTTTTAAAGTAAATGAGTTGCGCAATCTAAATTTCATACTCATCTTCCATTGGCGTAGAATTTTTAAAGGTGCAAATATTTAAAAAATCAAGTTCTACGCCTATGTATTATTATCGGACAAAATTATAATACCATTTTTTTTGCTACATAAAACTCTACCAATATAACAAATTTCAGCAAAATCGCATATGCCGTTTTAAATTTATATGAGAAAAACGATTTAAAAATTGTAACTTCAAGGCCCTCTGGAGCCCAAACGAAGCAACTTTGTACAAAGGTAATTTTACTTAAATCGACTTATTTTGGTCTAAGGAATATGTGGTATGTTTTTGTAAAGACCTTTTACAGACACCCTGTATATTTATGTTAATATACTATGTTCTTATATATATATATATATATATATATATATATATATATATATATATATATATATATATATATATATATATATATATGCTAGTATTAAGATAAGTATTATGTAATTTAAGGTGACTATTTAAGATAATGGTAAATAAAGTATGTACTTTTTTTTCGGTCCTTGCTAAATAGTGTCTGCTAGAGCTTTAGCTTTTTAATTAAAAAAAAATTATATTTTTTTGCTTCTTTGTTTTTCTCTGTTATTTTTGTTTTTTTAATTTGTAATTTTTTTGTTTCTGTTTTTTTTTTCTATACATGGTACAATGGCCCAATTTTAACTGCATTTTTAACCTTCGTAATTTTCTACTGGGCGATTTCCGTAATTCTTTTTTATGAGAAAGAAGTACACCCTCATAAATTTAATTACGATCTGATGGGTGGAATCCATGAGAAATTTATTAAGTTTGCAAATGCGTCTGAACGATTTTGGAGTCGATTTTTTAAAATTATTTTTATAAATTGTAACACAAAAAGTTCGTATGAACGTATTTTCTAAACGACCTTTTATTTTGAAAATGAAGGGCATTTAAAAATTAGAGAAGAGTTTTTTCTAAATAACTAGACTAAGGAAAGTAGTATCAAGTTGAAAATTGCTGCAATTTTGTTCGGTATAAACTAGTAAAACAAGTAAAATTTGTATGCTACTGTGTTTTTAATCAATTAAAAATTCAAGCCGCCGAACGGTTGGGCCTACCTGAAGTTTCTTCGCTAGAGTTGTCGTATGGACTTACATGGCCATCATATGACGTACGGTAACATAAAGTGCAGTTGACTAGGTATCTAAAACCCAAAAATTGACATCCGCGAACTAGAATAAATTCAAAGAACAGCATGTCTCAACATAACAGGAGCCATGATAACCACACCAAATAGAACCATAGAAGCCATTCTTAGTCTCACTCCTCTTGATACAGGGTGCGGCAGCATAACTTCCTTTTTGAAATGCGCGCCATTCAAA